GCACCGGGGGGGGGGCTTGAGTCTCCGCCCTAATTGTTTTTCTCTCTGAAAAAAAACAAAGATACAACTAACATCTGTATCTTAAACTACTAGCTTTGATATAGCCCCCCCCCCCAAAAAACTTTAAATCTCAGTCCCCTGTGGTGCAAAGGGGAGGGCTGTGTGAGTATCGGGTAAATTCCTGTCCATCCCTTACGACAAATCCTGGGTGCGACAACAGGAATGCTCCTGAATTATATACATTAATTGTGTAGTACGTTCAAGTCGATTGTACAATCAGAGCTACGGCTGCATAATAAATATTTGTCATAAATATAAAAATTGGACATTTGTGACCTTTTATAGATATATATAGGTTCTTACCACTTAACAGTTTCAAAGACAAATTTAACGTTCGTACGAACTTCATTGAATACATTGCTGTTGTTCAAGCTATTAAGTGTTCCTTTCAACCTATACTTGTATCGGAGAATAGGACGGTGAACTGCCCTTTTATTCACTTCAAATTTTAAGCTCTTTTATGGGCGAAGAGGGGTTCCAAAAGATTCTACCAGACTTTTACTTCGAAGAAAGTAGCAAGGAAATATGTAGAGAAGCGGAAAACAAAGTACATATGGATTTTGATTTTGGCCAGTGGTCATTAGGTTTTAATGTACATGTACATGTACCTTTTACATGTACAACAGACACGAAATTAAGATGGTTTCAATTTCGTCTAATTCATAGAATTTTGAACACAAACTCGTTTCTACAGAGCTCTGGAAGTGCCATCCACCTTGTCAAGATCCTGACATATTTTATCTTAGGGGTGTAGTCCACTAATCCAGGCCCCATTGAAAACAGTGTAAAATCAGCATTGTTTGGGGCCATATAATAAGCGTGCCAACACCCCTGAGGCATCTGAAACACACGTTAAATTATTGTATGGTCCATAACCTTTTACTTTCTTTTCAATTTTCTGTGGGTTAACTTATTACATTTTGAGTTATTCCCTCAAAACAAAATTACCCCCAAAAAGTGATTTTTCCAAAGTCTGCTTGCAACCATTTTTCAAGTGACAATCCTAAACTTTCTCCGGCACTTAGGACTATTTTTCAACAGTATTTTTTAGCCATTCTGCTCTCAGATGAAAGCTCAAAGACCCAGGGAGTTGATTCTGGCAAAGATTTACACAATCTCACCGTTTTGGGGGCAATACAATCTCCTTTTTCAAAAGATACTTGTGAGAACTAAATCAGTGAAAAGCCGCACACACAAATTTATCTTAATAAAATAATTTATTACCTATTTACAGTCCCGAGGTTCACCCTCTCGTAGTTTTGAACAGTTCCTCAAATGAGGATATTCATAAAAAAATGACGTCAGAGAATTGTTTTAAGGTTTAATTAAAAGAACTACATTAGACGCCAATAACACCAAACATCATGCTTTGGAGGTACAAGACAATAGAACTACAGTAGTAAATCAAGTCAATTAGCTTCAACAGCGAAATATTCCACGGTTGCAACACATGTAATTACCGGTAAGTGCACCAAAATTACTTCAAAAGCCACCAAGGCCACTTCCAAGTTTAGGAGAAAAGTATTCACCCGACACTAAGGGTAAACAATGCCACACAGGCTATAGTGCCACACAGGCTAAATAGTGCCATAAATAGTGCCACACAGGCTAAATAGTGCCATAAATAGTGTCACACAGGCTAAATTCTACAACCAAGCCTTTAATACAATATGACATAGCAGTTTATCTTGGTCTGCATGCAGGGTCACTTGACGGTCCGCTCAGGATGGGGAAAAGGTGTATAAGCTGACAAAGTATGGCAACCCCAAAGAGCACAAGGCCCTTAGCTTAAATTACTCTTGTTGGATTGGAGAGCCTGACCACTGGTGTTAATATAATTTACAGCAAGACAACTGACTGACTATGGGTAGCACATCTTCACTCTATATACGCCACTTTCCGTCACACTCCAGTGCACCCAATGAAAAGACCACACCCTACTGAAACATCCCAACTGCTTGTACTTACCATTCAAATGCAAAGTCTACAATCTAGAGCCCCAAGCACCTTGTGTTAAATGCAAATCAATGACATCACACACTGAAATGAATATTTAAATCAAGCAACTTCTCTTGTTGCAGCCAAAATTGGGAAACTCAATAAAACTCCATATGAAAGGAAAATAATAGTTGTCATTAAAAAAAAATAAAATGGGCTGAGATGTGACTATACTGTGGGGGCACTTAAATGCTAATGAGCTGGCCAGAAATTCTCGCTTGAATTAGTGGACTGCACCCTTAGGACGACGACATATTACGGGCAACATGGCGACATCGTAAGATGTGGTATCGCAAGATGAAGACATCCTGGAATGGAGATGACAGCATCCCGATATAATGTATCATTGGATGGCGCTATTACAAAAGTAGGATGATGACATCTTGAGTTAAAGGGATGACGGCATCGTAAAAGTGATATGATGACATTATTTGTCAATGGCTGCCTTGACAAACCACCTCGAAAACAGGTGGCCTGAGATGGTAGTGTTTTTCAAAGTATTGTCCTCCTGTTGCCACACATATCAATTAGATTAATAAAACGTCATGATGTCTCAACGCCTGGCGCAAGTTGTGAAGTAGACATTACACTTGGTGGATGTCTCTGGATGATGACATCCTGAGCTAATGATTATCGTCATTATCTGAGGATGTCATGTCGTTATCCTATTTTAAGTAATGTCGCTGTTTTTAGTAAGCTTAAGCCTCTATGCCACAGGGAGTTCTGTTTATATGCTTTACAATACACTAATAATGCCATACTTGGACTTTGGAATAGAGAAATTGTGATGCTAATCGTATTACCAGAATTCTTAATTTATACAAACACAAGCTTTGGCAGTCATAAATTCTTTTAATATGCTGGAACATTTCTCTTTTTGTGCTACAAACAGAATATTCTTATGTCAGTTGCATTCACTCTGTTGATCTTGGAGCCCAAATTCAATCAAACAAAATGTTTTGTAGAAATGAAACTATGTACCACCATTTTACCTGACAGTGCAGAAAATTTCATTTGCAAGAATAACACTTTTAAAAGACAATTCGTCATGAAGGCCCTAAGTTTTGTAACTCCTTACACAACTCATTTATCGGCATGCTTATTCTTCCTTATTTAGATCCAAACTTAAAACTTATTTTTATCGAGTGATAGTGAGCTCAGATTAATTTCTCAACTGGTAACCGCCGTTCCCATTTCCGTTGATTTGGAATACTTGACTTACAATCTTCCGTGTCTATGTGTAATGTCTTACTCGACAACTTTCGTTTATAGACCTTATAATGAATTCATAATTACAGTCGCATGCGCACAGACGGCCTTGTCGGCAAGAAGTGTGAGCGGGAAATTGAAAAGGTATAGGGGTGCGACTTTGATGATCATTTTCTCTCAGGTTTTCTGGCTTGGTTATTTTTTTTCTTCAGAAAATCCCATCCAATCGATTTTGCTATTAGTTTCTAATCCTAGGATGATTTCTGGTGCTCTGCAAAATACTTTATAACCGTGATTATGCACCCATTCGTTTCTATACATGTGTAACCCTACTTTCTGCACATGAGAAATCTGACGAACTAGATCTTTTTATCTTTTGGAATCTGCACTTTTTTTTTTACAATCCCAAACACAACTGGGTACCATTTCTTTCGGTTTTACTCCAAGCTATGACCAGGTTCAATGGTAAGCTATATACGTACAGTACATGTTTATGTATATTGAGGGTGCATTCCACTAATTCAAGTGAGAATTTCTGATCAGCTCATCCCATTAGAAGCGTCCCCGGCAGTATCCTTTGAAAAAGGCCCGGGAGATTTTTTGACCCTCAAATGGTGAGATTGTGTAAATCGTTGCCACAATGAACTTCCTGGGTCTTTCATATGACAGCAGAATGGCTAAAAACTACGGTTAAAATGGTCGTATATAAGTGCCCAAGAAAGTTGAGGGTTGCCACTGTAATCAGACTTCGGAAAAAAATCACTCTTTTTTTGGGGGGGGGCGGGGTGATTTTGTTTTTACGGGAATAATTACAAATGTAATTGGTTAACCCACAAAAAATGGAAGAGAAATTGAAAGATTAGGGACCAAACAGTAATTTAATTTGTGTTTCAGAAATATTAGGGATGTTGGCATGCATGTTATTGGGCCGTGAACAGTGCTGATTTTACACTGTTTTCAATGGGGCTTGAATTACTGGACTGTACCCTTGACTATCAGTACGTGTTTAGAAATGCACAGGTTGGCTCAAGAACACTAACGATGTGGTTTATACATGTATGTGTATGTACTACCAAGGGGGCCATAGGCCTACTAAAAACAGCGATCTCGTGCGCACAGGAAGAATCACGATTATAAAGTCTTTTTACAGAGCACTAAAATTCCGCTTAAATTAGAAACTAATAGCAAACACGATTTAATGGGATTTTCCGAAGACAAAACTGAACCAAGCCGGAAAATCTGAGAGAAAATTGATGCACACCTGTACCTTTTCAATGGACCGCTCGCACTACTTGCCGCTAAGGCCTTCTGTGCACTAGCGTGCATAATGATTTATTAGTGAAATGGGCTTTCCACGTCCACGTAAATGTAACCAAGTTCTGACACAAAAAGCAATATAATAATGCATTTCAGTTATATGAGACCTAACGTATAATATACATGTATGAATTGTAATTTACTGAGATCATAAGATGTGGTAAAGGGAGAATTTTTTTAAAAAATCTTTTAGTGCCTTTAAAGGGGTGAGGCAACATTCTTGGAGCTCTCATATGAAAACTACCGGAAAATCGCCTTGCCTTTCTATCTGTGCTAAAAAAACTTGTTTAGAGTCTTGTCGATCCGCCCTTGACAATGATCCGAGACAGCGCAGCGCAATTGGAAGGTGCAAATAGACCGATCGCGCGTGCGCCCTCAACACCGCTATATCCCAGAATGCAATTGCATAATGGCGGGCGACTGTAGGTCATGACATTGGCATGAATTTGGATAACGTGAAACTAGAACTAACGTTAGAGATGCTAGAACTCCTACCGCGAATTTCAATCAAATGAAATATCGTTGTGCTTATTAATCTTCATCCTATAAAGTGAATGGAAAATGGAAAGTTGTGATACATGCCGTGAGGTATTCCGCCTTGTCTCCTCGTGTAAGTGACTAACGAATAACGTTAGGCTGGCCTGGTTAGCCATGCTGCAGTGCCAGTCATTGCCAGTGCCCAGTAGTGCTGGGCCTACTGCTAGTAAAAGTAGGCCTAGTACTAAGTAGGCGAGTAGGCCTAGTCATACTACACGTAGTTAGGCATTTTACAGTCACTTCGCCCCTTTTCAACTTCGCCTCTTCCCTACTTCAGTACCATGCTTGTCAACTCGTACTCACCAACGTGACCAACTCATATGCCAACACCATGTCGTACACATGGTAGGCGTTAGGCCTAGTGGGAAAGCCTATTGGTACAGTTCAGATTGACCGGTTCCGCAAACAGAAACAGTCCAGAGTGCCTGACACCTCAAAAACTAAGTTCCATGGAAAGTTTTCTGGAAATTATCCAACTATTTAACAACTTTGGGCAGTCATTTAAAAGATGAATGCGTGAGTGAGCTTTATTGGCACGTTTGGTGGGTGGAAGTTTGCCCGGTTTCACAAACAGTTGCTGGTTCTGCTAAACATGTGATTTGTACAGTAGCCTAGGTCTTGTTTTTCTGACACACAACGATTTGCACCACACGCACACTGAAAGCACGCACTGTACAATACATGTAATCTAAAACCATGAAAACTCGTTCACAGAACTGGCCAAAAATTTGTAGTCACTTTGTATTCAAAACATACATTTGAAAATGGACAGATCTCATATTTTCACAGTGGGATAATTGATAATTTCCGATAGCAGAACGGACTTTGGTTGGAAAAAAAATTACCGTGATAATCATTTCAAAGAGCCACAAATGCAACATCGCACAGAATGCACACGTGCTGCTGTTGTCAACCACAATCAGTGAAAACTGATCATTGCCAGTTTTCTTAATTTACGGCAGAGCTTGTGTAATCAAAATTCTTTTTCTGCAAGATCTTCAAGTAAACTCTTACAGAGAAGTATGAAGCAAGTCCTGAGCAATTTTGTCGTTCTGTAAATAAAGCCCTTTTTCTTTAAATTGTGGAAATGGCTAAATTGCGAACTGGACAATTAACTGTTCTTGTGCCAACTCGTACACCTACCAACTTCTACGTTGACCAACTCGTATGCCAACAAACTCATATGCCGTGTAGTTGCATGCTTAATTTAGTTTATACAAGTGCGATCATGTACTAGGAATAAGTTCGGCTATCTGGAAATATACAAAAAAATTGAGACTGAAAGCTTTTTTGATGCACAAGATACATGTACATATGAAGCGATAGGTTCAGAGAAAAATGTACAATATAGGCTTTTTTTTTCTAAAGGACCTGGACCAATGAAAAAACCAAAACTAGCATTTTGAATTAATTTTGTTTTTTAATCTTTTCTTGAGATTTTTTGGCTGATATTATTTCAACTAGGCCTATCACTTTTTTTCGAGAGCTTTGTTGAGAACAGAATATTTTGTTCAACAAGAAGTTCACAAATGTTTCACATTTCAAGCTGAGCTTGTCTGAGGATGTAGTTCTGAAGAACATTACAAAGGAAGTAGATTTTCATTTCAACTGATCAGGAACATAATGAATCTGGAACTAGGAAAATGACTGTACCTGACATCTTGAAACCATTGCTCAACAAGTCTCTGATATATGTGTTGTATGAATATAGGATTTTGATCAGCCATTAAAGAAACAAATGCCCCTCAAGTACATGACAGTGCATTTTGAAAGTAGTTCTCAAGAAGTCTCTTTCCTGTTCACAAGTTGACGAGTTGGTTGGTGTACGAATTGGTCAGTATACGAATTGGCTTGCGTACAAGTTAACCTGTTCCCTCCCTACTTCGCCCCATTTCCACTTCACCATGTTGCCACTTTGCCCCAAACTTTATCGTCTTTTGTTTTAGTTTGCCAATGAAAATCCTGACTGTATGTCATGTATGTAGGTATCAGGTGTCTAGGCCAGTGGCAAAGTGTGGAGTCTAGCCGGCCAACTGCAGTAAAGTCATCACTGTTCCTCGCCGTAAGGAGTGAAGTTATGCTAAACAGAGTTGCTAATGTACTCGCTTAGATTCACCAAAATATGGTTATCAAAACTTTATAGAGTTATACTGTGACTCTTGATAGATATTTGTACAGTTTACATGTACATATACAGTAAGTGTATATGCGCTGTTCCTAGGCCCATGTGTATAACATTTGTGTTAACATGTATCTCCCATACTGGTCAGACAATTTTTTTTTTTGGGTTTAGCTACCTTTGAAAGTCAAGTCTGTTAGGAAGCAGATTTACAAAATTAAGTGGGCTGGTTCAAACTCTGAAATGTCTTAAATCAATGAAATGATTAAAATAAAGAAGATGTATACGGGGATTCGTAGAAGACTACTGATGAAAGTTAAAAGGAATGGTACCGTTTCTTTGATAATACCAATTTTAGTATCAAATCCATTGTCACAATGCTGTCAATCTACGCCGCCTATAAAAAAGGTGCCTTATTTGTCATTCAGTATTTTCCAAGCAATCAAGCACAGCTGGGGTGAAGTGGCAGTGGGATGAAGTGGGAATCGGGCTAAGTGGCTCTTGGCAAAGTGACATGGGGCAGCATGGAAATGAGGTGAAGTGACCGACACCTAGTTAGGCTTAACATGTCTAACCATGCTGATTGGCCTTGTAGTTGTATATTAATGTTCCTGACATTCATGAACGTTAGTTCTCATTTGTATCCTTCATTTGCTGTTCTGGTAATCTTTTTTTTGTTGTTGATGTTTTTAAGAGTAAAACCCCTAACATTATGCCTAAGTTTGGTAAAAGTTCTAGGAAGGAATTCCATCATGTCCATGGGCGTAGGCTATGGACATGATAGAGGTCACTAATATTTTTTAGAGTGACAAATTGCTGGCTTTGCCATTATTTCTCTCTTGCATTTGTATTTCCAGAGATGGAAACAAATGTGGCAGCACTGATTTCAGTGAATGAGAAATTGCACCTGGTTGGAAACTTGATGCAAAATGCCTACATGTTGGAGGAACATGCTCAAAACAAAAACTTACATGTTACCTTCCACTGAGAACAGACAAAGTAGCATTGAAAAACACAAGGAAAATAAGGACTTGTTGAAAAAAATGCAGGGATTTCCTTGTTACTTATGTCTTACCGCTAAGGGGGCATTATTGGCCTAAAAAGTTGTGAGATGGGCTGTGCTGCATTTGAGTGGGCTAAGAAACCCTGGAAGACCCTCACCCAGTCTTGGACCCAATGTTCACTATTATTCAGCGTCTACAATTGGAATGGAACTTATAAATTTTACAATTTTTCTGTTAAGCGTGTGGAAGAAGTGAAATTTATCTTGCTGAAACTGTGTGGCACCTATTAAAGTCTCTCTTTCCTTAGATTATATGAATGTACACGTATCTTGATGATTCAAGGCCATTTGGGAGGTGGAATGCTTTTTCAGATTCTTTTTTTGGGGGGGATAGAATTTTGATTAGTTTAGTCACCTGGTATGTTACGTGTATAATTAAGAATGTGGAACAACTTTCGAATTTCAGACATTGAAACATGTGGAGCTGGTGAAAAATTTGAAGTCAAGAAGAAAGATGTTTGGATCCTGCTTGACTTCTCACAAATATGGAGTCAGAGGTAAGTTTGAATTTAACATAATACAACCTCATTCTGTATTTAAGTTATACATGTACACTGTATGTTATGTACACATTTACATGTATATGTATGATGTCATGTCCTTGTGGCTTAAGTTCCTCCCTTGGAGCTCAATTGTCATGACAGAGAGTTAGTAATTGTCATGCTGAGTGGTTTTTGCCTTGTATGAAAATATGAAAGATCACACTAAATACTGTTTTCTGTCATGGTATTTCATGGTATTTCAGAATGTATACTTAAATAGGCCCATACTTTAGTGAATTCACTAGTATTCAAGCGTCACATCATGATGATAAATGTACTGCGCAGTAAGCATGTATCTTTAACATTCATCAGTTTTGTTTTTGTTTGTGTCACAGTGTAGCAATGGGTATACCACACAGAGTGATCACATGACCTCAGTCCCAAATCTTCCCCCCTTAGCAGACGTGGTAGTGTGGTATTACATGAAAGTTGCCCCAAGAAAGTTGAAAGCTGGAATGGGAGGGGGGTCAAAGTAAGAAGAATCAAGCAACGTGGCATGAAGTGGAAAAAAGTGTTTCTCTTTATATGTATTCATTAATTTTTTGGGTGTAGGCGTTGCCCTTGGAAAAGGAAAGGTCAAAGGTATATGTAAAGATCGCTGTAGTACTAATAGATCAGGGTTGTTTCTGCTTGAGTTACATTATATTTAGGGAATAAAGGATGATGGGATGGAGTAAAACTAGTATGTATAAAAGCTTGCTTGAGACCTGGAGATGATAATGGATATGGACAGAGCCAAAGGTAAGGTCCATTATTGTTCCAAGGCATCCAGCTGATTTTAAACATATCAGTTCAAAACCAACTCATTACACTTTTATTCCCATTCATAAATGCTGTTTGGGTGAAAAAGTAAACAAAAAATTTGAATTCACATTTTTCAAATGATGTAATTCATTAGTTGTAGGTTTTGTTTTGTGAAACATCCCTTTAGCCATATCTAAAAGTATGGTACAGTGTATGTGCCTTGTCCCCTTGAATTAAAATGTATGTGGAAATTGGAGCATGCTTTGCAGTGTGAGGCAGAATCTAACTTAGCCGGTGCAGAATGAAATTCGGACTGCATGAAATGTGGACTCAGTTTTTGTGTTATCTATGTCAGTACAAGGATCATGATTGTCTTGTGTGAGAGTTAAGAGACCATAAAATAGGTGACCAAATATCATTTAAATCTGGGAATATCTTTAAAACCAGTCAGTACTGGTACCCGGTACCTTTATTATTTGATAAAATCTCGCATATGAAGGGTATTTGAGCAGCAGCGGATTACACGAAACATGATGCAATGGTGTAATGTCAGTCACAACACGTATTATTGTGTACATTGTGGCGGCCCAACAAATTCATAAAGAGTGATTTCACAAAATTTTGTACTGCATAAGTTGGCGACTTCCGCAACAATTATAGCATTACTTACACAGTCACTTTTAGGTGGCATAACTTGCACTAAACGAAGCGAAAAGGAATGATTTGAAGAACTCATATTCAGTTAAGGTTCACCATCACTGAACTTAACAAGGCTTGTACAAGAAATGTACAAGTTTGTTTTAGAAGGTAATGAAAAATCTGTTTGGCTGTGAGGAACTGTGAGATTTTCTGTCCAGTTCTGACAAAGAGATGAAAACTTTTTCCAAATGGCGGGTGGATGTAACTCAACGGCTGTTTAATGACTCTTGTTATGTTGGAGAGGAACAGCCATCGTAAAGTGGTTTTTGTCCTCGTCGGAGAAAGATAATGTCATTAAAGTGCAACGTACCGGTAGCCAAGCAACTTTTGTTGAAATGGAACATTAGTACATGTATATTGTGCAGCTACGGCACAAATTAGTGGCGCAAGGCTTACACATGGTTCCGACTTTTATGCCACGTTTTGTGAAATGGGCTGCAGCAGGAATGGGTAAACTTTAGTATTTGTGAATTGATGTTACTAAGCATGTTTGAATAAGGGAGCCAATACTGTATGTGCTTTGCTTGTCTTACCGAATCAGCAGAGTCAAAGTTGAGGAAATTATTGGTGTATAGTCCCATTCATAAGTACTTTCTGATGCAGAAAGTCCAGAATTCAAAACATGTTGAACAAATTCAACTTTCCAACAATTTTGTTCAACATTTTTTCAAACACCCTTCCAGCCATATTATGGTATGTGTCTCTCATAGTTGTAAACAATCTTCCTACATGGGGATTGGTGCATGCATGTCACCTACTGTGCTAGGTGGCACAGAATAGGATGAGCCAGTGGAGTGTGTATTTAGGACTCTCATGAGTAGTATTGGGCAGACACAAGTGAAGATCGTGAATGCTCAACCAATACAAGGTAAAGCGACCAGATTTCGTAGGAGTCTAAGTTTTATGTGACATCAGAAAAGTGTTGAAGATCAGCTTGGTGGTACTGTATTAACTGTTTAAGACTGGTCATGTGATGGCCTCTTAACCAATGGGAATGGCTATAGCAACTGCCAAACTGTCTCAAGTAAATAGATTAGAATGGAAATTGAAGTGAAGATTTATATACATAACAGAAGAAAAATTGTTATAGTCTAAAAGCTGATCAAAGGCTGAGGTGATGTGTGTATGATTGTTGTCTGGAACTACCTGTGAATGATCAAAGGTTAAGGTTTCATGGATATGTGTACATTTATTATTGGCAGAATTACATCTTCATTTTGTGTACAGGCAGTGTAGTTGTCTCTTCAAGGACTACAAGAACTTTGAGAGACTCAACAGTCTTGTTCAGCTTATTTTGCGCTTTGCCATCAACATCATCGCTAACCCCAAACATCCTCTTGGGGATACTGGTGACAGGGAGGTACAAGACAAGGAAGTGTCTGTCCAGGACTCTGTGGAGATGCCAAAAGATGACACAGTGAAAGATGAAGATACAAGACAGAGGGACGGAGAAGAATCAAAGAATCTGTCCTCCCCTGGGCAGCAGGAATTGTCTGAGGAATCTCCTGTGGAGTCAACAGATGCAAAGAGCGCTTCAGATGAAGAGAGTATCTCTGTCACAAAAAAAGAAGAAGCCAGTAACGATGGTGGAAGCTCTACAAGGAAGGAAAGACAAGAGGATAAAGGAACTTCTGAAACTAAGGAGGCACATACTGAGGTGTGGAATTTGGAGGAGGAAGAAAAGTTACTTCAGTTTGTGGCTAAAGTATTCCAAATGAACTTCCCCATGTATGCAGCACACAAGCAGTATTACCATGGCTTGGCAGAGGTAAGACTTTGGCTCACATAATCTGTATAAATTCATGAATTTTTGTTAATCACATCTTTGGGACTGTTTCTCATGGACAAGTTAACACGTACTGGTACATTTGCATTTAGACGGTACAAACACAAGCATGCATGCATGCAAAATATTTTCAGCTCATGCACATGCACATATTACATGTGTGTGTACATGTATCATTGCTTTAAGAAAATCCTTATAATGAAACAGAAAGGCACTCGTCCTTGGAGCTGCCAGAGATCCCCTTCAGCCCAAGAGCATTTTCCGTTATAATTATTCTCAGACGTCATTACTTTGTTATCCTTGGTAACATTTTGCTATTTACTACTGATGTTTTATGTCCTACTAGAAGGTAAAGCACATTATGATGTACTTAATTGTTTGTTTCCTTTCCTCCCCAGCAGGAAACATCTTGTCAAGAGGCAGAGGCCTTAGGCAATTACTGTGACATGAACGTAAGTTGTACATGCGTACACGTAGTAGAACACATTATCGAGGCAGACACCATCCTGGATTGAAACCTTTTGACTAGAAACTGTCATTCCCCACCAAAAAAATTTTCACCGATTGATTAATTAAAGTTTAGTAAAGTTTAGTAGGTTTAGTACATGTACACCACATACCCTCACAATAAGGCAGGTAAAATTTCATTGTGTCTATGGGTTTTTGCATTTTTTAATTTCTCAGTTCTCCTTTCTTTTGTGTTATGCTGTGTAATGAAGTCCATCTGTGCAATTGTTGCTAGGCTGATGTGCGACACAATATGCACATTTTACCACTGTACACCATGCATCTTGACCTTGCAACTCATACTGAGATGTTTTAAGTCTGTACCCATCACATTGCCAACAAAGAAGCGCATGTACACGTACATTTCATCTAAAATCATTCAATCTTGCTTACTGTAATTATTTGTGTAGCAAAACAATGAATATTAATTTGGAACCCTGCTTTTCACCCCTGTGAAGCGCTGTGTGTTGTGTGTGCAGTGTGATGGAAACATACGCTGTGATGTTTGCATGGTACACTTGCTCCTGTCTGTAATGTAGCACAAAATCTTGGAGCTGGTGACCTCTGCATAGACATGAAGTACATGTGAATCCTGAACACCCATGAAATGAATCAAACTATAAGGAAAGATGCCCACTAGACTAGATTAAATATGCGCATATTTACATGTGTACATGTTCATGTATTTTTCAATTTCATGCATTTATTTGGCGACTCAGTGTTTGTGTGTTAACGGTCACATTAATGTGTTTTTCCTTTGGACACAACACTGCTTCACGAATACCCATGCTGGAACTGAAAGCATTTTTGGTTGTTCTTGAAACCAGATATTTGAGCATTGTTGACCAAAAAATGCTCTAAAGGTTTAGGAAAGGTTCACTCTGGTGCAGTTCTGTGGTGGTGGTCAAATATTTTGGACACTTAAAACAGTGATGATTATTGGACTTTTAATCATAAAGTAAATTTCATTCTGCTAGTTGTTGGATTTTCGTTCTGCTAGGTATTAGCTACTTGGTACATGTATATTGATTTAATTAAAAAAATGACCCATCCAGCATTATTGTTCTTGTAAAAACTGACTAAAAACACCGTGGTGACAGTCAGAGAAAGTTCAGTTTAGAGAAAGTTTATTCTTGAGTACCCATTTTCGCATCAAACCTGTCTTTTCCCTGTGTCATGTGTGTGTAGTTCATCAGACCCTTGGTCATTAGACAACATGTTTTAGTCTGATGGTGACAGAGAAAGCATTAATTATATTGTTGTTGAACGTACATTTATTGTTGTTAGATGCACCGCACACTTCAGAAATTACATTACAAAATAGAACGCAGAAGATGCATACATGTACTCCTACTCACAGTTAGATAAAACAGGTTCAAAAAGTGTATTGCAGACAGAAATTCACAGCAGCGTAACTTTTTATTGATAAAACAAGGTGTCTAGAAAGGTCCAAAATGACCACCAAAAATACATGAGTTTCCTCACTAAAGAGACTTTTTGAACAAAAACCTCCCGCACTTGTGTTGTGGAAAACTGTAATTAATTATTATGAAATTCCTTCTTTTTAAAAAAATGTAATGGCCCTCGTATTTGTTGTTCATGTACCCTTAGCTGTATAGTCAAAACTATGGGAGGGGATGGAGGCCTAGGTTTACCCCGGCAAAATGTGGTGGATTGTGATGTCAAGGTTCCCCCTTTTCTGTGTGGCGACAATGTTAAGTTTCTGTGAGCACTTTCAGCATGTTAAGGTACCATGATTGTGATTTTAAGCAGTGACATCAATTCTCTAAGCATCCGGATTGGACTTGATTGTGGAATTCTTTCACTCAACCATGGCAGTTTTTATAAGTTCAAGGGAACATGGCTTGTGTGTGTGTGTGTGTATGTTACACGTAATTTTGGCAAAAAGATTCAATCAACAGTAACAGTAACAAAACATAATCTCTCTTTTGTGATCACCAAAAGAAATATTTTGTCCAATATGACTGTGCAATGGTTATCCTCAAACTGTACCTTTCAACTAAGTAACTCCCCTGTCCTTTTGTTCATTCCACTTAAAAAGATTCATAATTGAAATGTGAGAGACTTTTGGCTGTTTTCTTGTACCTCTGAAAGGAAACTTTTGTCTACATCGTGGATTTTTATCAAGCAAATAGAAAATTCTAGGTTTAAAAATACTTGCCGGCTTAGTGTGGGTAAAACAGCATCGCACAGCATGCATTGGAACAATGGGTACTTTTTTGTTAGTTGATTTTTCAGCTCTGTTTTTTATTGCTTCCAATGTCTAATTGTGCATAAAATCTTCCAATTTGTTGGCCAAGTCTAACCCTAAGCCCCTAGGCCTTTTTACTGGGAACCATTCTGAATCCTCCAAAATCCTCCGATTTTCAACATGAAAAAATTGCATTCAGCCCAAATCCTTCAAAATCCTCCAACATTTCTTGAAAATGTCATTTGGAGATGTGTCTGACTGCCCAAATCCTTCAAAATCCTCCGGCAATTCTTGTCATTAATGTTGAGGCAGTGAGGATGGTGCTCTTGAGCTGTGCAGTCGATTCAAAAGAAATATCGGGCTGAGTTTGTGCTTAGCTAAGCACAAACAACACAAGGTCTAATCAACAACCTTCACCCGTGGCATCCTTCAAAATCAGCCATGCACTTTTGCCATACACCATGAATCCTCCAATTCCTCCACTTTGCAGAAAAGGATTTTGGAGGATTTGGGAGGGTTAGGGTTTAATGTATGGCCTTCACTTCATTCTTCAAGATTCAAACAAATCTGTCAAATATACCAGTACTTCTAAAGCACATGCAGTTGACAGGATGGGTACACACCAGCTGGTTTTTGGTTCATGTTAAAAGTTGGATGTATTTCTCTTGTTTAACTGCAGGATCTGGATGTACCAATCCACCTACTTCGTAATGTCTGCTTTTTCTGTGATAGTAATGGTCTGGCTGTCATGCGTCAGTGTTTTGAGACAGCCACTCCTGACTCTCTGCCATTCTCCCTTGCCCATGCAATAATTGCAATAGTTGCAAATGTAAGTTGCTGCTTAAGTGTGTTTGATATTACCGGTAGATTAGGAAGTTTTTGTCTCTGTGAATTTAATATGTTGTATATTATATAAATGTTTGTGTTACACCTTCCCTTGGTTAAACCTACTTATTAACCTAAACCCTATATGCATTTTTTGTTAGCTTCGACTCTGGTTACACCTGCATGCAGTCATGCAGTTTGTCGCTCCATTGAGAACACATGTTATCAGGTAGGCTGTGGTGGTTCATTCATTTGTTTTTTTTTTCTGACTTCAGTAGTGCCAACTTTAGTTTAAATACATGTGTAGATGGAATTCTCAAGTGCAGTCTTCATTTGCAACATCAAATACATTAAGGGAGTTAAAACAATCATGTTTTCAAATACAGATTGAAGGCAATGACTCGTACAGGTAGTCAATCTTCAAAATATTTGTGTGTTTTTTCATTTTTTAGGGGTAAAGTTAACCTGTTTCAAGAATTACTTGTGCCAAAGTGCATGTCAGTATTCATCAGGGTTTTCAGAAAGAGACAAATTAACCCCAAATCATGTGTTTTTTCAACTAGGCTATGCAATGCTAACAACTTGGTGTTATCATTTCTTACCAAATCTACTGAAATTAGCCAAATCAAAATGATCTCTGTGGCGCAAAATTCAACTAAACCGCATTTTTCATTTTCAAGAGACAAATTCGTCTTCCGTAGATATAACATTGGGAAAAAAGGGCAAAACTCATTTCACAGTTTCCACAAAGAAACAAATTTGACTCCGGAAATGTATACAAATGTAACAGTTTTGTATCTGGCAAGTGCTTTGGAAAAATGTGTACACTGTTAGCAGTTTTCATGAAGAGACAAAAAGTCACACAAATTTTAGAGTTCTCACAAACAGACAAATGTGTTTATTTACAAAATAAACAATTTTGATAGACTTCTATAGATATTATTTTGTACTTTCGTGTCATTTAAGATGCCTTCTTTCATGGAGTTGCATTGGTAAAGTAAAAGGAATGCTAAATACTTGAAAAATCAGCACGTGAAAACAAGACTAACTTCAAACGTGATTTTCTTGAAACCTAGGTTTTGTTCTCTGGTGAGACTTTCATGTCCTCGTGAAAACTGTAACAATATTTTGTACCATATACAGATGCCTTACATTGTTACACCTGCATTTGTCATTGATTTTTGATGTGTTCCTGTCTGTATGTTGGGGAGTCATTGTTTCCATTGATTATAATACACTATGGGTTGTTTTACAGTTAGTAATATGTTTGTGTCGGCATAAAGTTTTTAGGACAGGGCAAAATATTCTTTAATTAGATTAACTTTTGTATTTTAAGTTTCAGCATTGCTGGTAGTCAGTATGTGCTAGTGTCAATTGCCAATTCTGAAATTAAGTTTCCTTTAGCGGTATTTGCTTTTGTCTCAAACAGCTTACTGTATTCAACAGTTATATGTTGATCATCTTGTCCAAAGAAATTGGTTTTTCCTTATGAGTTCATGCTTTGTGTGGTCTTATCATAACAGATATTTGTGCCGGCTGCCGGACAAGGAGTTACGACGTGCTAGTGCCCGCAGCATGGCTGATATGATGTGGAGTGCCATCAAGGAGCCCATGGAGGCACCATTGTCCTTTGATAGAGACAGCCTAGAGTTGGCCCTTAAGTACTTCATGTCATCTACACTGACTATGAGGCTGGCTGGTTTGAGCCAAATCACGGTACTTGATTGGAAAGTGTTACTGATTTGAAGCTGTTACGTATATGTATTGTTATACAACTCATAAACTTCAGTGTTCAGCATAATGGTGCATCTTAAGTGAAGTTTCCTTAGAATGGATCATATATTTAGATACATCTTGTCTTTGTCTAGATTGTGTATATATTTTTACCCTTATCCTCTCAGATCTTTCAAAATCTTCCAGGAGGGTTTGGAGGATTTTGAAGGATAGAGCAGGGTCAAGCATATTCGCTGTGATATGTGGCTTGGTTTCCTTTATGCAGTGGAGGAATTAGGAAGTTTCTGGAGATGTCTTTTAAAAAACAACTTCGGAGTTGGATTTCAAATTATTGTCAAAATGAAATGCCTTATTTTTGACTTTATACACACTACATATTTTTGCAAGATACAGTACAGTGCAATTGAAAGTTAACCTCAAAAGTGGGACAATTTAAAATTTTTTTCCCTTCCAAGAAAATGAATATTCATTTCACAAATTGTGAAAAATTTTCCCCTCAGTGCGAAAAATGTGCACACCTTATGTTGACAAGTGGGAAAATGTTCACACCCTTTTTTCACAGTTAGGAAAAATTTTCACACCTGTTTTTCACACATGTGAAAACTTTTCACAGGTGCGAAAGCTTTTCACAAGTTGGAAAACTTCACTAAGCCTGTTCGATATTTAGTTCTTTTCATATCGGGATATCATGAAAAAGCATCCCGATACTTGATATTATCGTCGTCATTTTCCATTCATTAAATAAACACGACCAAACTCAACATTATGTCTCAAGAGCCACATGTATGTACATGTAGGCCCATGTATTATCTCTACATTTAGAACTCTTATATGCTGGTGGAAAGCAAATTTCAAGATGGAAATTGTGGACATCATATATCATATCATGGCACCATACCGAAAAAGCCATTTCCTTGCACACATTAGTGGTAAAGTTCGCTCAATAAGGTAACCCCCAAAATGGACAGAGCACATGCGTGTTACTAGAGGGGCTTCTGGTATTGACACCCTCGCCTCATTTCTAAGTCGTCTTTTATTTCTCATAAGTCGGCATGTTTCACTTGGTCCCTTTTCTACAAGACCACAAAAAATCCTTCTTGTAAGTCAGCAATAAAAATGTTGCCCTTCGGTATCGGTTTCCTTCGCCGTGGTCGCCTAGAAACGTTAAGTGACAAGCCCCACACGGCTCGACTGATGCATGCATGTGGTTGAGTACATCAATACCAGGGACCCCTCTGCGCTCTGTCCATTTTGGGGTTCGCCTTATTGAATAAACTTAACATGTAGTCTGACGTAGCTGGAGTTTACTGTACAACACATGACACGTGCCTACAGTCTGACGTAGCTGGAGTTTACTGTACAATACATGACACGTGCTACAGTCTGACGTAGCTGGAGTTTACTGTACAATACATGACATGTGCCTACAGTCTGACGCAGCTGGAGTTTACTGTACAATACATGACACATGCCTCCAGTCTGACGTAGCTGGAGTTTACTGTACAATACATTACACATGCGTACAGTCTGTTGGTTTGGTTCTGCTCCCTAATACTTGTAAGACCCTTGCAGCTGCTGGGGCCAACAGTGACTTTGTGGTTTGAGGTTTTCAATGGAGTATTTGTGTGGCCTAAATGCAGTAATGCGGGGCTCAACACGCGGTGCATTGACGTCCCTATGTGCATGTACAGTACATCTTTAATTTTCGGCATATCGATTTGCACGATATCCCGATATGTGTTTTTACAAATGATATGATTTCCGATATCAGCATCATATCGAAATATCATGAAATATCGTCATATCGAACAGGCTTATGTTTCATAGGCGGGAAAAATTCACACATTTTTTCACAAATGGAAAATGTTAACACCTTTCACCCACTTGAGAAGAAAATTAACCACAGTCCCCAAAAATCAATTTTTGATTGAAGTTCACAAGTACATTTAGCTGGACAGTTGCCAAAATTTCCCCCAACCACACTTTGTGTTTGAATGTACAGTCTTTTTAGTAAGAATTGAGAAGAACAAAGTCAGAAGAGCCACCAAGTATCATAATACTTGTTATTTCTCTTAGAAAGCAGTAATAAAAACAGTGATTACCATAACTCATGACATCATTGACAAAATCTTAGAAGGCAGTCCGTATCCGCCTGCGTACGGCGGCATTGATGAAGCTACCGCGTGTGGATGTAATGTTGACATGCTGCCGTTCATGCAAGCCCAGCCACTGCCATTTGGAAAATCACAGTGCACGTCATTGGTTTGCGCTTTCTGACCAATTTTTTCAAAACTAAGATCTAGTTTCATTTGATGTACCAGAAAGCCTCTGTAATTCTGCTTGAAAAAAATCTCTGTATTTAGCAGATCAAACCTTAAGAAAAATTCACCTTTTTTCACAGAATTTTCAATGAAGAGTTTGGGCAACTCAAATCCTATCTATTCGTGCACAAATTGATGAAAAATAGTATGGTCCCTGGGGCATAGAAATCAGTTTACTGCATCCTGCCTACAGGGAAATGAGCGACCACGTGTTTGTACACAAAAACGATTTATGCGCACAAATGTGTTTGCAGTGGCCCTTTATGGTCCCTACACATAGGCCCAGTACACAACCACAACTCACATCCATCGAGAGTGTGTTTTTGCTCCATGCCTCTGATGTCAATGTCATCCAGAATCTATCCGGCCTAGGCGAGCAAGTTTTCGCATCAACATTTTCAAACCTTTTTCACATTGTGTTTGCACAGTTTTTGTTTTATTTTTGCACAATTTTCTCATTATTTTCGCACACAGAGTTTTCGCGGGGTGTTTGCAAATTTTTTGCACCACGCCGTTTTCGCACATTTTTCGCACTGTCTTTGCACATTTTTGCACCAGATTCACTGCACAATCGCAGAGGGGAAAAGTAGTAGTCAAAATGTGAAATTCACCTGCAAATAAGAATTCTTTTCCCTTTTTCCCCCCAGTCATTTTTCCAGGGTTAAGTTCTAGTTGCATTGTACTGTACATGAACGATGGGTTGGTGCTTAGTTTTAATTTCTATTTTTAGCCAATTGTTTTCAGGCATTTCATACTTTTGCAGGAATTCGTGGCAGCAAATAACCTCTAAATTGGAAGCTCTTTCTAACTTTTTCAGAGCCAGATTCACATGTTTAATGAAGTTTGCAACAATGAATCAGTGGCAGACATAGAGAAGTAAGTAAATCATTTTGATGTGGTTCTCTTTAGGGGAGAAAGTTGGGTGTAAGGGGATGAGGGACTTTTGAGGAGCGTGTCGATCTCTAACTGTCATCATTTTCAATTTTTGCTTGACATGCCTTCTTCCGTTTGCTATTAATGACAGTCCTTGGGCTGGAGAGGGGGTATGTTTCCTTTAGAATTGATGACCATCAGTGTTTTTAAAACCTTGGTATGCCCCTGACATGCCCACGGGTCATGTTCCCATTGTAGGGGATCCGTTTGTACCCATTTGTTTCCATTTTGTTCATGTGCAGATGTAGATATACAACACAGAAGAGGAAGCTTGTCCTTTCCAAAACTTGTGCACTCATTAAAAAATACAATAGGTTCACATTCCATGACTGTTCTTTATTGGTTGTTGGAAGCAGTTGTGTGGATAGCAATCCATTAATGGCTGTGTTGTGGCTATGGAGAGGGTGTCTATCATCAGACTGTTGTGTGTCATGGGTATATGGCTTTGGTGGCTACAGTTACCCTGATGCACTAGTCACACATTCATAGTTGTAGTCCAAGAAATCCCATCACCTGTTACATTGTAGTAGCTATTCAGGGTTATGATTCCTAGAATGGGTGGTTTTCACAGGTTTAGAAGGCATAAGTATGATGAGATGATGATGATGTGACCAGCCCATTTGGGTTTGTCCTATATAATGAGCCCTTAACTTCCCAAGATGTTTTTGGGTGATCACTTTTAATTCAGTGGTCTTCTCAGTGTAAATTTTAGAGTGAAACCAATAGCACAGTACCTTACTATTCATTTTCAGCGTTGGGTCCCAACTGACTGCTTGGCTTCTAGAGAAAGAGGTGGTAGAACATCTGTTTGGACCAAACATGCATCTAGAGGTAACGTCAAAGTATACAACCTGTATTTCTTCATGTATATCTCTTGAATTTGATGATAGAAGGCATAAATTAACAAATCCTATTTTTCATCTTGATCGCAGTTCTCAACATGTAAAAAATAGTTTGATTCAGTGGTTCATTGAATAGGTTGTACTTTCATAAATACCTCAGATAGCTTGGCT